TGAGAGTGTGACATTATGTGTGTGTGACACTGAGTGTGACACTGGGTGTGTGTGAGACACTATCTGTGTGTGTGTGACATTATGGGTGTGTGACACCAGTGTGTGACGCTGGGTGTGTGTGTGACACTGGGTGTGACACTGGGTGTGGGTGTGTGACACTGGGTGTGACATCAGGTGTGTGTGTGACACTGGGTGTGCCACTGCGGGCTGTGTGTAACAGTGTGTGACAACAGGTGTGTGTGATACTGGGTGTGACACCAGGGACACGTGTGTTACACCAGGTGTGTCTCTGTGTGTGACACTGGGTGGGTGACACTGGGTGCGTGTGACACCAGGGGTGTGTGTGACACTCTATATGTGTGACACCATGCGAGTGTGACACTGGCTCTGTCTCACTGTGTGTGACACTGACTGGGTGACACTGGGGGTGGGTGGGTGTGACTCTGTGGATATGACACCGTGAATGTGTGACAATGTGTGACACTGGCTCTGTCTCCCTGTGTGTGACACTCTGACATCAGCTGTCTCACTGTGTGTGACACTGTGTGTGCGTGACACTGTGGGTGTGACACCATGAATGTGTGATACTGTGTATGTGTGACACCATGCGAGTGTGACACTGGGTGGGTGACACTGGGGGTGGGTGGGTGTGACACTGTGGATATGACACCATGAATGTGTGACACCATGTGTGTGTGACACTAGCTGGGTGTGTGACAGTGGCTCTGTGTGTGACACCCTGTGTGTGACCAAGCAGGTGTGATGCGTGACATCTCATGTGTCACCCCACATCACACGGTGTGACACTAGGTGTGACCACACACCAGTGCATGTGGCACCGTGCAGCACCACACGTGCCATGTGGGTGCACACACGTGACAGCAGGTGTGACCATGTGCATGTAACACCACGTGCAGGCTCCCTGTCCCCAGGGCCAGGAGGGGACACCGGGAGGGGACAAGCAGGGGCTCTAGGTGCTGAGATTTGCTCGGTCCCGATGCATCACTCGGGTGACACAGAGGGACTGGGGCACAGGGAGGGTGGCGTTGGCCTTGCCACCTGTGGAGGAGGATGTCACCCACGGAAGAGCAAGCCCTGCACCTTGCCATGCAAATGTCACAGCCCGACTGCCGTGGGGACGTGGGCTGTGACATCCCTGCAGGCTGGGGGATGCCAAATGTCACCCTGGTGGCCCAGGAATCTGCCAAAAGAGAACAGAGGGCAAGGACTCACATGGCCCTGCCAGGAGGTGATAGGACACAAGCACAGCTGCCACCACCCACCAAGATGGGGACACAGGGATGGCTGCTACTGCCACCCTAAGAGATGGACAGGAGGGACAGAGGAGGTCCCAGCCTCGTCCCCTCCACTTCCCTCACAGACAAACAACGGGCAGAGCCAACACTCAGGGATTTTAGTTCGTTGGTTTTTTTTCTTTTACTTTTTTTATTCCAAAAATCCACCCCCAAGAAACAAAATATTTCCCTTGGGAGGCTGGGATCTTCCCTCCCCCCACAACAGCCTTGTGGTAATATGAGTAAAGATCCTCTCTAAAAATCCCAGGAAAAAAAAAAAGGAAAAAATAAAAGGAAAGGCAAACTGAAAATGAACCAAAAGTAACTGCCAAGTAGGTGCCCTCCCTCTGCCCCAGCCAAGAACCCCAACCCCAACTGAGAGAGCGCAAGACTTGGTTTGCTTTTACCCTTAATGCTTACATTTAATTTTAAAGCACAAACATCAGAGATGGACTCTAAATCGCCAACAAAAAAATAGATATTTACAATATTTCTCCAGGGAGGGGAAGGGAGGGAGGGAGGGACGGGGGGGATCAAAACAAAACAAAAACCACAACCAAACCCTTAAACAAGTAACTTTGCTTGCAGGAGTTGTCTTTAGGGAGCAGGCTGGGTTGGTTTTAAATCACTAAGTGATTTTTTTTATTATATATAATTCTCTTTTTTTCTTCCTTGTGGATTTGCACCACACCGGGGTGGTGAGGAGGGTCACCCGCAGGCGTCTCTGCGGGGCACAGCAGGAAGGGGGTGCTGTCCCCGTGGAGGAGGGACCCCCAGAGGGAAGGAGCCCCTGGCCCTTCCAGCCACACTCAACCCCAGCTCTTGTAAGTTTTCTTTCTTGTTGCAAAACTCAAAATGAATCCAAAGGAAAAAGAAAAGCTTTTAATTTTTCCAACATGTTCCCTGGTCTTCCCTGGGACCCACCGCCAAGAGAGGCCGAGGGCGAAGGGTATTCCTCTCACCCAGGGGTGTTTTCCTGCTCCGAGCCCTCCAGCAGTGAGGCCACACCGCCCCTTGTCCCAGGCACTGCGGGATTGTCCCCTCGGATCCCCCTGTGGCAGCCGGGGACAGTCCCCACGCCCAGGAAGGGGGTGGGCGGCCACCTCTCCTCCCTTATTGCTTCTGAAGCAGCAGGGGGGTGGGCTGCCCTCGGGGGGACCCCCCTGTGGGGCTGGGGACGGGTGGCACAGAGGGGACACCCTGGATTGTGCTATCTGTACGCTGCCAGGGAGAAAGCGGGCTGCTGACACGGGGGGGGGAGAGAGTTGGGGAGCGTCCGGGCACAGGCAGGACAGGGAGGGAAATAAAATAGTGACCCAGAAAAAGAAGATTCCAACCTTTTTTCCTTTCTTTTTTTTTTCTTTCTTTTTTTTTGTTGTCTTTTTTTTTGTTTGTTTTGTTTTTTTTTGTTGTTTTTTTGTTGTTTTTTTTTAAAGTGCAAAAAGCTCTCTGCTGCCCTAGAGAGAGGTTCTTTGGACCGACCATCATTGCAAAGGAAAATTGGCAGCGAAAAGGGGGGTGGGGGAAGGAGAGGACGATGCAGGGGGGTGGCCGTGCCAGTTCGGTCCCAGGCCATGGAACAGCCCTCGCCCCTCCGGCCCCAGAGTGCTTCACGGTGCCGGGAGCTGGGGAGGAAGAGGAGGCAGCTCCTGTCCCCCCACGTGCTCACTCACCCCTGGCTGATGCTTCCCGAGTCCTCCCTGAGCTCTGATGTACCTGTGGGTTCTCCCCTGCTCCATCCCCTCGGACAGACGGTGCTCTGGGAAGGCTGATGCTGTCCCAGAGTGGAAGCGAGTTATCCCCCAGCCTCGCCTCCCCGGGCTCTCAAAGCCCCTGCTCCTGGTGACACCCCAGCCATGGGGCTCCTGCCCTCGGCACCCAAAGAGCCGCCCGGATGTGTGGGAGCGGCGGGAGAAGGAGGGGGATGTGTCACAGTCCCTGCAGCCGGATGAGGGGAAGAGAAAGGGCGTGAGAGCACAGGGCAAGCGCCGAGCTGGTGGTGGCACAGAGGGGTACGGGGTGTTTCGGCTCTGCTCCCGCTTCCTTGGAGAGACCCTCAAGCTTTGTGCTACCAGGGAAGTGACAAGTGTTTCAAGGCAAGGAAACGATGGGGAGGAAGGGGAAAAGCTGGGGGAAGAGGGTGCCCCATTTCTCTGCACAGAGACCTCTGTTACAAGCTCCGCCCCGGGAGCGGCCAGCCTCCGGGCTGAGGCTCCCTGCCATGTGCCCGTTCCTCCTCTGGTACTGGCCAGCCTGGCGGGACATCTTCCTCGGCAGAAGTCCCGGGGAAGGAGGAGGAGGAAGGACAGTGGAGCAGTGGCCCTGCCTGCCGAGTCAGGTGGGAGGCAGCGGCAGGACATGGAGGGCAAGGTGGGGAGGTGGAGGAGCGGCTCTCCGAGAGGGGTGGGATGGGCTCTTTTCCTTCTCCTCAGTCTGCCCCGGGGAGGGTCTCTAGCTGATTTTTTGGATCAGCTTCTCATCGGACAGGCAGTAGAGGCTGTTGATGGACAGGTCCGAGATGAAGTGCTCACAGGCTTTGCGGGTGATCTGTTTGCAACCTCGCAGGTCGATTAGGGTGACGTTGGAGATGCGGCGCAGGTACAGCAAGGCCTGGTCTGTCAGCTTATTGCAGCCTGCAGGGAAAGGAGAGCTAGAGTGAGTGGAACAGCTCCGGGAAGACATCCCATGTCATGCTGGGAGGAGGGAGGTGCTGCAGGATGGCCAGAGCAGCGCACCCACCTGCCATGTTGAGCTCGGTGAGGGAGTTGCGTGTGGAGGAGCCCACGGCGGTGAGGAGGTTGGCCGACTGGTCCGTGAGGTGGTTGCAGTGGCTGAGGTCGAGGCGGGAGAGCAGGGGCATATGGCGGATGATCAAGCGCAGCGTGGCATCGGTGATGTCCAGGCCGGCGAGCCGGAAGTCGATCATGTTGCGGAGTTTGCTGCGATTGTCCTGACCTGCGAAGGAAGAGGAGGAGCTCAGTGCGGACGAACTGCCCTGGCGCACTGCGGAACTCCGGATCCAGCATCACCTCCCTGCTCTGAGATCAGAATGTCATCCCCTTCCACCTCCCCACAACCCCCAGGGACCCTCCTGAGTGACCACCTCTCCAGCCCTGCCCCGGGGCAGCAGCTTACTGGGTTTGTCTGTTGGAGGCGTGAGTAAGTCCCGGATCTGAGGGTCCTTGATTCCTACTGCCCACCGAAGATCGAGGGTCCTGAGAAGGGGGCAGCTGGAGGTACTGAGAGCACAGACCGCAGACCAGGAACAGCCCGCTAAGATGAGGTCTTTCAGGCCTGGCAGGAGGGAGAGAGGTAACGAGTCAGACGGGTTTGGTCAGCTCTGAGGCATCCCAGATCTCAACCCTCTTTTTCCAGGCACATGAGGAAGCAGGTCTCCTCCCTGCCTGGGGTGGGACGTTCACTGGGGATGAGATCCAGGAACCCCAGGAGTTCCCAAGCTGGCAGGTACCAGGGTGCAGTGTGTCTCACCGTGCTCCAGCCCTCAGGAAGCCTTGGAGCAGGCTGGTGGCAGAGACGGGACCCCTCCCCAGCCCATGCTCACCTGGCAGCCTGTTGACGAGCCACGTAAGCTGTTTTTTGGAGATGTTGGTCCAGCTGAGGTCGAGGCTGACCGGCTGCCTTTTGATGATGCCGCTCAGTGCCTGGGGGGTGATGGACTTGCACCTGCTCAAGTCTATCTTTGTCCACAATCTCTTGTCACAGCACCTGGGGACAAGGACAAGGCTGAAAGTTGAGCCCCATGGGACAAGAGACAACCAGTGGGTTGCCTGGCTTCAGGGAGAAGCCCAGCCCTGGCGTGGCCTCAGCCACAGAACAAGGCTCTCCTCCTGGTTTCCATAGGTTTCCCCAAACATGGGAGGTTGCTGAGGGTATCCGGCCACCCAGGGACACCCAGAGCAGATTCAGCAGAGTTTTGCTACCACAAAACAAGACTCAAAGTCACAGTTGCCGGTCTGCTTGTCCCCTCCAGGTCCTCCTCCTGTCAGGGCAGAGATCCTAAGGATACTCACTCCCAAGCAGACACGACACCTCCTGGTCCCATCCCACAGCTCCAGCACCACTTGCTGCGGCAGAGCCCAGAGGTGGCACAAACTCCTCCTCTCCCACAGGAATCTGTGGAGACCCTGGACCCGACGGCAGCTCAGCTGAGCCCTTGAAGGTGCAGGTAAGGGGACACTGTCCTCCAGCCATCACACCACACCCTTCCCACCGGCTGCTGATCAAAGCAGGCTGGTCCTTTCCCATCGCTCCATCCCTGCTGCTCGGCGGTTAGAAACCTCCCAGCTTCCATTCCCGTCTGTTCCCCAGCCCTTCACCATGCACAGCTGTCCCAGTGCCAGCATTGTCTTCGGGCCTGCTGCCCCCTGAGGCACTTCCAGCCAGCAAATCCATCCTGCCTCAGCAAACCCATCCCGCCTCAGCCTGCCTTCCACACTTTCCCTGCCTGCTGGCAGCACAGGAGGCCAGGAAGGGCAAGGACCATCAGGGTAGTGGGTGAGGAAAGGACACTGGCACCTCACAAGGACATGGTGGGGGACACAGATGCTCACATCTCCCAGAGGGGACAGTAAGGAGCAGTGCACACAGGTCCAAGGGCAATGCTGCCTGGCTCCAGGGAGCGAAAGGAAGGCACTGAGGAGAGATCCCTTCCGTCTTGGCTGCCACCAAGCACATCCCCCCAGCCCACGCCGTGTCCCCACACTCACCACTTGTACCAGGTCTTGCACACCCGCATGCACTCGCAGAGCTCCCTGCGGGTGAGGTAGCGGAAGACGGACATCCAGACCTCTCTCTGCATGCAGCTCTCCTCGTCCTCCTGCGCCCGGCCCCCACGGCCGTTCAGCCGGGCCGCTCCCCCCTCCTCCGCATTCTCGTCCTCCTCCTCCTCTTCCTCATCCTCCTCCTCGGCAGCCGCCTCCTCCTCGCCCCCACTCCGCAGGGGCATCCTGGCGGGCGCGTGGCGCACGACCACACGGGGCGAGTGCTGCAGGTTGGCGGAGGAGGCTGTGATGGCTTGGAGCTTGGGGACGATCGAAGTGCCGTGGACGTCTTTGGTGGGGCGCTGGAGCGTCACGGTGAGGTAGGAGCCGTGCAGCTTGGCCTTCTCCACCTCCGACAGCTCCTTCTTGCCGCTGGGGTTGTTCTCCTTCTCCCGCACCATGGTTCGCTCCGTGGCCTGGAGCCGCAGCAGCTGCCGCCGCTTGAAGCGCTCGTCCCGGCTGGCGCTGTGGTGGTCGCTGGGGCCGGCGCCGGGGGACGAGCGCGTCACCACGCCCCGCGGGGACGCTGGGTCGTGGATCAGCTGCAGCATCGGGGTGGGAGAGTTGGGCGGGGGGGTCAGGGGCTCCTCGCAGCTCCGCAGGGGCCGCAGCACCTTGGCTTGCGCCGTGTCGTCGTCGCTCTCCTCCACCTTCCGCTTCTGTGGGGAAGCGGGTTAGCAGGGACGGGGCTGTGGTGGGCCTGGGGAATGTTTTCCCCCTTTGTTCTTCCCCAGGGAAACAACACAGTGCTGGGCAGGGCTTGCACCAGCAGTGCCCAGTAGAATCATAGAACGGTTTGGGTTGAAGGGGCCTTAAAGATCATCTTGTTCCAAACCCCTTCCATGGGCAGGGACACCTTCCACTAGACCAGGTTGCTCCAAGCCCTGCCCAACCTGGCCTTGAACACTTCCAGGGCTGGGGCAGCCACAGCTTCTCTAGGCAACACGTTCTAGTGCTTCACCACCCTCTGAGTAAAGAATTTCTTCCTAACAGCTCACTTAAGTAGCACCAGGATCAGAGTCCACCCACACCAGGAACCAATGTTCTCCTTCCCCCTTGACAAAAAGGGGCGTCCCCTGAGGTTGGAGGTGGCTCCCACTACATGCCTAACAGCCCAGTGTGTCTTGCAGTGGAATCTCTCAGGATCACAGCTCAGCATCCGTGGGAAGAAGGGGTGCTCATCACAGTACTGGGGGACTCGCCCCTGTGGGATGCCAGGATAGGATTGCAGCAAGATGTGGGCGGGCCCCCAAGTGCTGCACTCCCACAATCCTCACTCTCACTAGTCACTGCCCAACTGGTCCCTCCAGCCCACCCTGGCTGAACACATCCCTGGCAGGATGCAGTGGGATGGAGGCCACACATTCTGCTCCTCACCTGGCCCTTCTCTGTGTCGTCACCCTGGTAGCATTTGGGGCACTCCCAGCAGTTGGGGAGCTCGTCGTTGAGCAGCCCCTCCCCATCCATCTGCAAAGAAAAGGAGGGGGGTCAGCAGCAGCCCTGCCCCAGAACCAAGCCCCCCCCCCGTGCCCAGCACCTGCCCTGCTCACCTGCAGACAGCCAGGGTGAACGATCTCGTTGCAGATACAGCACTCCATGAGCTTCTTCTCAAAGTCCTGTGAGTCCTCATTCTGATCCACCTCGCCACAAAGTGCACACGTGACCGAGTGAGGCAGCCTGGGCTACAAAGGAAAGCAGGGGTGAAACCAGGGCAAGGTAGGACAGCCTTCCCCCTTTCCTTCCCTACTACCTGAATCATGGGGAAGGGGCCAGCTATTCCCCAGGAACCAAACTTGGGTAATTGCCCTCCTCTGTCACAGAATCATAGAATTGTTAGGGTTGGAAGGGACTTCTGGGGAGCATTTAGCCCAAACCTCCCACCTAGTGCAGGTGACACAGGAACGGTCCAGGTGAGTTCTGAATGTCTCCAGAGAGGGAGACTCCATGCCCTCCCTGGGCAGCTGCTCCACTGCTCTGCCATCTTCGAGAGGAAGTTCTTCCTCATGTTGAGGTGAAACCTCTTGTGTTTTAGTTTATGGCCCTGATAGGCCACACAGAGCCGTGGCCAGACTGCAGGAGGCTCCCAGGGGAAGACTGAGGATGCAGACTCACCGCTAAGCACTGCCGGAGGACGCAGGACTGCTTCATGCGGCCAGGCCCGCCGAACTTCTTCATGTCCCTGCAGTAGTGGCACATGCCACACTCGCCCTGCATGCAAGCCTTGCATTTTCGGCACCGCACCCGCCTCCGCCTGGCACCCGACACGATGGGAGAGACCGTGGGCCTGACGGGTGTCGGGCGCGGGGTCGGCTTCATGGTGTGAGGCTTGGTGATGGGGATGGTGGGCAGGCGCACCCGCAGCCGGGCCTGGAGCTTCAGCTGGCAACAGAGAGAGAAGGGAATGGAGTGAGAGGAGTGAAGCACTGCATTGTGCTGAGGTCTGAAAGGCTCTGATCGGATCTGGCACTGCAACGGGTAACGTGCTGGAGAACAGCTCTGCTCCCTCACCGCTCCACAGCCAAAGGAGCCTGGATTGGTGCTTCCCCAGCAGCTCTCCCTGAGGACACTCCATCACCCCACACCAAGAGCTCCCCTTCCTCCTACCCCCCATCAGGACTCAATAACGGGTCTGAAAAGGGGTGATGAGTCATAAAGACACCACAGCGTTTCAACAACATCCACTCTTTCCTTCTGAGGCAAGGAATGACAAGGTCCACCCGGGCTGTCCTCTCTGTGTGTCACTCAATCATTCTTGTGGGTCCCTTCCAACTCAGAATACTCTGTAACTCCTGTCTGTAACCCATGTTACCTGTCAGCTCTGCATAGGACAGGGATCAGCTCTGGGCACTCCTTCCCAAGCTCAAGGCACCCTGGGAACACCCACACCCACGTTTACAGTACAGGTGGGACAGCACTGCTCTCCGGCTGACCTTTGTCACCCTGCATCCCATCAGCACTCAAAGGAAATCTGCTGGCTGCAGCATCCTTCTGGGATCAGCCCTGGTGGGGTGTCCACCACAGCTGAGGGGCTTGGGTAGGCTCCCAAAAATCCCAGCACAAGGATGGGGTTGGGGGATGTGCCAAGCATCTGAGTGCTGCACCCAAAGGATGTACATGTCTCCAGGTCTCTTCTCCCAAGAAAGCTGCCTGAGATGCTTCTGCTGCAAAAGGACCAGCAATCCACACTGGATCTCCTTGGGCAGGGCAGGCAAGCAGAGACAGGCACCTCCAAAGGGCAATCTGAGAGGCTTGTTTGTTTCCAGACTCCCAAATGGGCTATTACCCACCCTTCCCAGAGTGATGGGGTCCTGCTCTTCCCACAGACAGCTTGGGAGCCTGTCTCCCGTCAGGAAGGAAGCAGTGACCTCGGGGAGCCAACCTGGCAGGCCACAGGAAGGCAGCCTGCAGAGGGGAAGTCCGGCTGCTCCGTGCCTCCATCTGCTCAGCGAGCTCAGCCCGGGCTGTGGCCCAGCTGTGGGCCCTGGGTTATGAGCACAGCTGGAGAGGGAAAGGACAGGGATGCATGGAAAGGTCCCACTGCTGAGGAACTGGCTGCTATCCGCAGGGAGCTGCATCCCTTGGGGTTGTAAGAGCCAATACTACAGCAGAGTGTGCTGGCAAGGACAGGGACACAAGGGACACATTCAGCTTGCAGTAAGGGGCTGGACTGATGCTGGCCTTCAACCCCACACCTCACATCACTACAGCAGTGAGACCTTCCCCAACACACAACACTCCTCAGGCCACCCAGGACTCCCTTATCAAGCCAGAGCTGCTGGGAGAACAGGATCACCCCTTCCTCCAACAGCCAGGCTCCATGTTCTCTGAGCATGACCAAAGGGCTGGAGAACATGGAGCAGCTGATCCAGTTACCACCCATCAGTTGAGCTGGGATAACCAGCATGGTGGGAGAACTCCATTCTGCCAGCAAATGGGTTTGCCTGCGGTGCTGTGGAGGTGGTTGCACCCTACATCCCACCTTGGCACTGCTCCCGAGGCGGGTATGGAAGCGGTGCCACCACACCCCAGTCCCGGGCAGCGACTCAGCTCCACGTGACACCCACCCAGGTCCCTCCTCACAGCTCTTACCTTATCTCTCTTGGGCCACTGGACGATGGGGACGCCTGTAAGTGCCAGTTTGGGGTCGCTGTTTGCGTATTCTTCCAACAGCAGCTAACAGGGAGAGAGGAGTGGGGGAAAACACAGCAGAGAGACGAAAAGCACAGGTATGAGCAGAGGGAAACACGGCTGCCGCCAGTGAGGCAGGCTCCGACCAAATGCCAAGGCCAGCACGCTTCAAAGGCAGCTGGGAAGGAGCCCTCCTCTTCCCACGCCCGCCAGCAACCAGCCCTCCTCCCCACATGAGACAGACAAGCTCTGTCGAGTCGATCTGCACCAGCGCTTTCATCAACTGCATTTCAGCCCCGAGGCCCCGCGCTGGGCGGTGGTAGGGGGAGAGCGCCAAGATTCGGCAACTGGGGGGATTTATGGGGGAGGATTCTGGCGAATCCTCCCCCCCCCATCTGCTCCCCCTGGCATGGGGCAGCTGGAGGGTGCAGCAGCAGCAGGATGTGGTGCCCCAGCACCCCTTCCATGGCCTGGCACAAGCTAGTGGGTAGCCGAGAGCTGCTCCCCCGCACTGCCTCGGGGTTTGGCTGTGACTTTGACGGAGAGATCCCTCGGCACCGACCGGACTGGCACATTGCCCTATGGCGCGACAGCCCCTCGCTCCCGCTGGACGGGACCTCCCACACTCACCCTAGTCTTTCTGGCCTCCTCACCCCCCCCCCAGCACAGACCCCTCCCCACCGAATCTGCCCATTGCAAAGGTGCTTTATTTACTTGACGTTGCCATGGTTACGCAGGCAGGAGCCTCCTGCCGGCATCCCGGCGGGCGGTGCTTCCTGCTGCCAGGCAGGGCCAGGGCAGGGGTGCCCGGCGTGCCCCCCACCCGGTTTTTCCGGGTGTCTCAGGAGGCAGGAAGCTGCAGCCTTCCCTCGGCTGCCCAGCAGCGCAGCGTGCTGCCTCCAGACCTTCCGCCTCCCCAGGAGCACATGCCGTGAGGAAAGGTCAGGGCTGGGGGCTTGCACACGGACATCCGCGTGGGCACCGAGCCGTGGCGTCCCCCCTGCCCGGGGCTCCGCGGGGGTGGCGGTGGCTCAGGCACGTTTCCAGCCGGAGAGCCAAGGGGCTGGGGGGGACTCCCGGGTCCTGCGGCTCCATCTGGCTCGGAGCCGGGGTGGGCGAGAGCCCACTCGTCCCCTGTGCCCCCTCGCGCTGTGGCCACGAGGACGTGGCAGAGGGGATCGTGTGAGCACCGCAGCCAGAGCGGCGAGCGCACCCCGGGGAAGGGAGAGGTGAGCCCAAGCACCAGCCAGAGACACCCCCAGGGAATCAGGGGTCCCACCGCGGTCCCTCCCACCCTGCCTGGGACCGGAGTGTCCCCGCGTCCCCTCCCCACGAGCATTGCCAGCTGCCTGACCTTGCGCCTCTGGAGCTGCCGAGACTCTGGGGCGAAGTTTGCCGAGCCCTCTTTGTTTCGGTGCCCGCACTGCGAGGGCTGGGGCCCCCCACCCTCTCCCCAGACACTGCCGGGGGCTGGCTCAGACCCTGGCCGGACCCCCGGTGTTCGGGGACATGGCTGGGGGAGCAGCTGCGCCCCTCGCCCCGAGCGCCCCCGGCTCCCCCCGCCTCCGGCAGCCGCACCGGTGGCCGCGTGCTCCTCCCGAGCCCTTGGGCAGCGGCGGCAGCTTCCTGAGCCGGAGACAATGCTGCTGCGTCACCCACATGCGGTTCCCAGCAATGCTTTGCAACGGGAAGATGGCAGAAGAAAAAGCGAGCGAGGGAGCGGAGGGCAGAGCCGCGCTGCTGCAGCGCCGGGAGGGGCCGGGACGGCGGGGATTGGCGCAGGGTCCGGGCGGCGCTGCCCACCGGCCTCCCGGGGCTCCCTCCCTCCGCCGCCGCCGCAATCTGAGATGCCGGGGCCAGGCTCCCTGGGGCCGGGGACAGCGTGGCGGAGAGCCCTCACCGAGTCCTGCTCACGCCCAGCCGCCCCGACACCTTTCTTTTGTCTGCTCCGAGCCGGGTTTTGGATCTGGGAGACGCCGGTAGGGTGAGTGGGGCTTTGGAATGTAGGCAAGGATCGTCCCCCTTGCAGCCCCCTCCAGGGACTGCACCCCGTACTCTCCCGACCTGGATGGATGAATCGTCCCTGGGAAACATCCGGCCAGCCAAGTTTGGGAGCACCCGTATTCCCAAAGGCACACCGGGGACCAAACCACTAGAGGGGGACAGATCCATGCCGGGCGATCAAGGTGTCCCCAGTCAGCCCCAGCTCCCCGAGACCCCCACCCCCACCCCAGCTACACATTGCAATTAAAATGGAGGAAACTCCTGAAATAAAGCAAAACAGCGGCTGCTCCCACTCCTGATATATCCAAAGCATCTGCAGGCAACTACAGCTTTGTGTTTCCAGGAAGCCAGTCACATCCCGACCTGGGTCCAGACTGTCACCACCTGAACTGCCAATGACACCCTTAGGTTCTTGTGGCCCACAAGCCCAAGTGCTGTGTGTGTGACCAGTGCTGCCATCCCATCACTTAGAAAGGGAGACCTTCCTGGCACAGCTCACAGGCCACCCTCGACTTCCTCATCCATCCCTGAAGGATACAATCCCCATTCTTCACCGAGTCCTCCTGGTGCCCCATTGCCCAGCCAGGTACGTGGGCAATGCCAGACCAGAGGCTTTGAGATGAGGTCCTGGAGACGGGATCACTACTTATGGGGAGGATCTCCTTGTTTCTACAATCCTTGGTGCTCCAGCAGCTTCAAGGAGAGTCCAAATATAATCCATTCATGCCAGGCCACAGGGCTCTGGCTTCAGAATTGTCAGACCTGCTGTGCTGCCTCATGACCATCCTTCTCCTCTCAAGTCCAGTGGTGGAAACCAGCACATCCCAGAGGAGTCAGAAAGGATGGACAGGAGCAGTCAAAAGATGACAGGACCTCTCAGAAATTCCCTCTTTGACAGTGATCCCTCCAACGACGCCATGCTCAGGATTTTCAGACAATCCCTCCTGCCACAGAGCTGTAAGCACATCTTTGTCACATCCAAAGTGCCATGTCCCACCATGTGACGCTCCAGGCTCAACTCATGACAGGATACATACTTTTCCACATGACCCAACTTAGAGAGACCCTGAAATCGTGATCACCACACAAGAGGCTGTGGGACAAGGCAGCATTTTCCTGCTCCATGCCTGCTACCCTCTGCCTGGGGACACTGGATAGAAGAGGGTGGCAAGAAGCGTGGCAGGACATCTGATCTGAGGGGCAGATCAAGGATGTCTGGGTGAGAAAACACCACATTCTGACCCTCGGGAGCACAGACCAAAGTGGGGTTTTTCCCAACAGTCCTTGGCCACATCCCAGGTCCACAAATGACCTTACCTGGTGCCACAAGGACAAGAACACCAGCTGCAGATTGATGGCCATAGTTAAAAGGTTTAGATAGAAATGTCTTAGCCTTTTTCAGGTTTTACAAGCCAATCTATACTGGCCAGTTCCATCACCTCTATGGAAAACAGAAGTTAGAAAAGTGGTTTGACAAACTTGTCCCACTTTCTCCAGCCACTGTAGGGTGGTGACTAAGCATCTTTGTGCCTTGAGGATGCCAGTCCTGAGGGCCAGAATCCTTCTGAACCTCCAAGGACAGCCAGCTTTAAGGAGCAAATCCTGAGGGAAACTGTCTGGGACCACAGGAATTGTCACCTGCAGCTCACAACCAGACACAGGGATGGGGGGGGAAGTCACACAAAAAACAGAGGCACAGATTCATTTGCTCCAAAATATTAACAAATTCTTTGAACAGGTCTCAAAACCCAACTGAACACCAACAACCTTGACTGCTCTGCCTTCAAAATCCCCAACACCAGCCTCCTTTTCTCAGTCCAAGGGTGAAACGTGGTGCTCACAGCTTGAGCTCCTCCAGAGCATCACACAAGGGCTCAGAACCACATGTGTCACGTACTCTAAGGTCACAGCACACACAGAATGCTTGAAAAGCCACAGGAAACCAGAAGTGCAGCCTTTAACAGCACCAACATCCACTCCTTCAGCCAGGTCAGCCCACCCTGGGACCTCAAAGCTGAATGTCAGCTTTGATACAGGCAAGCAGCTGAACAGATCACCATCAGCAAGTAGGGGAGAAGGTGGTAACTGGTTTTAGGGACTAAAATGGCCTTGTGGGGAGTAAAGTGAGGCTGATGGTCTCACTTCAGTGCTGAAGGGACTAAAACGCCAAAGCTCATGGGGTCAGCTCAACAGGTCTGTCAGACAAAGGGAAATAAAACCCCAAACAACCCTCACCGGCCTTAAAAAATTGACTCATGTTACTTCATGTCACACCCTGGGCAAACAATCCAAAGAAACAAGGCCAAATCCACCTGGGCAAGGACAGGGCTCCAACCGTCACAGAGTCCACAGGCAGAACTGGAAGTGAACTGCATCTCCAAGAGGCACTTTGCACTGACACCCATGAAGGACCCAGCCAGGGCCCAGAGGGTCCCCAGAGGGGTCTCAGCCACGCTGGCTGGGAGCACTCACTGCTCCTGCTATCCTGACCCAAAATCCAAGGGATGTCCCTCAGGTGTGACATCAGCCTCATGTAGAGGAAGAGGAGGACACAGAGCCTGCAGACACATCACCCCCTGCCCCAGAACAGGTCAGGGTCAAGCCTTTCCACTTCCAATACCACAATGAAGCAGATGCAACCTGGCATCCCCCAGGAATGCCAGTCCCTGTGGCTGCCCCAGGCCTACCTTGACGTCAGCGATGAGGGCATCCTCATCCTCGATGCCAGTGGGAACACACTTCTTGTGCAGAGGGAGCGACTCCAGCTTGTCCACAAGGCAGCGCAGCCCCTCCAGCTCGAACTGCGTCAGGTGCACCTTCCTGTTCTTGCGCGGGCTGCCCCCGGTGGGGTCCCAGGCCTGGCCGTTTTGGGAACCCCGGCTGGAATCGGAAGAGTCTATGGATGGGGTCTTCTTCAGACCCGGCAGGCTGCTCCGGCAGCTCCTGCCCAGTTCGTCATAGTCCACATTGGCACCATTGGCGATGGGGCTGGTGAGGATGGACCGCCTCGTGACCGGCCGCCTGGGCTCCTTCCCTGCTGCATCCTCCTCCTCTTCGTCCTCCTCCTCCTCTTCCATGTTCACCGAGTCCGAGGAGCTCAGCTCCATGTCTGCCATGATGGAGAGAGAGTGAGAGCACAGTGGGCAGGCTTTCAGCTTCTAGAGGAATCCCCCCCAGCCACAACAGATACATATGGGGACAAGGCTAGGGGAAAGGAGGGGACACATAGCAGCTGGAAAAGAACAGCAAAAACTCTTGCCCATTCCTGGCTTGTTTTGTGGGAATGCAAGGCACCAGATACTGAAAAACACCCCAGAGGAAAAGACAGCAACGACCTAGACTGAATTTTATGGAATCCTAGAATAGTTTGGGTTGGAAGGGACCTAAAAGGTCATCTTGTCCAACCCCTCTGCCATGGGCCCAGGCATTTTCCACTACATCAGGTTGCTCAAAGCCCTGGCCAATTTAATTTTGCTTTGGAGAGCTTGGGATCTCCAGCCACTTGGTCCTGGGAGTGACTCAGGACCTTGATCCTGCCTTCATGACAGGAAAAAGAGGATGTGGACTCATTCATGACTGTGAGGTCGCTGAGCCCTTGCAAGTAACTTTGACAGCACTTAAACCCCTGCATGTAGCAGCCCTGACCAGCCAGAGATCATTCCTGCCCCAGAGCCCACAGCACTGCGCTGGTCACTGCAACTTCCCTCCACCTCTCGTGTGACAGGCTTTGTGTGTCCCAACAAGGTCAGGAACTGGTGTGCTGGTTTTGCAGCTCTGAGGAACCTGGGCTGTCACAGGGGTAAAGGAGGAAGCAGAAGTCTGGCTGGTTTTGGCTTCTTCCTCAGAGGAACACCCAGCCCACCACACTGCTGAGCCAGTACCCCAGCAGGAAGATGTAAGGAACCAGTCTGGCAGGGGCGAGGAAGGAATAAGGGCTGGGCTTACCCATACTGAGCGATTCCTTCTGGAAGTCCTTGGTGAGGTGCGAGCGGCTGGTGATGCAGTACACATAACGCTCCAGCACGTACCAACACATCTCATAATAGAAGGGGTAACGAAACTTATTTGGGACCTGCAAAACAAGGCAAGAGGGTCTGCTCAGGCCTCCTTCACCACCATTGCACTCACAGTTCTATTACTGCTGCCTCAAAGCAGAGCGATCCCCTCTGGAGACAGGAAACACGTGTCCATGTGTAACAGCATCATTCCTGCTTCTGGCAGCCTGATGGGATTCTCCTTGCAGAAGGATGTTATCACCAGGCAGGGCACAGACCAGGCACCACTCGCTTGCCGAGCCATTAATATTTCATTTTTCTTTGTCAGGGTTGCAGCTTTTCCCCCACAGACCTTCTAATCACGAGTACCAGAGAAAGTGACAGATGCCACACCAGGTTTGGCCGAGTATTCCAACACAGCCCAGGTGTGTCCTGAAGCTTCTCTGCAGGAGTTGAGCACTGCAGGTCCACATCTCCTCAAGCAACAAGCAGGAACACCCATGTGCCTGCCTGTTTCCCCCCACCCCTCCTGCTCCTGGCTCTCCCACAGGTCCTTACCCGCGTGCGGTCTTCGATGCTGTAGATCCGAAGCTGCATAGGGATGTTGAAGCTGTGTAAGAAGTTGCCCCCAAAAACCAGCGTGTCCATGGGGGTGTACACAGCATGGATCCAACCTTGGAGAGAAAGAGTTGGAAGAATCCTTCTGAGCAACAAAATGATGTCAAGGTCTCGCAACTTCCAGTCCTTTTCCATCTCTGAGGAACTCTGCTCTTCTGAGCAGGGTTGTCAAATCTGCACCACCTTCACATCACTCAGATATGCCCACCCTGACAGTTGCACCTTCACCTGTATCCAGGTTAGCTGCAAGCACAAGACTGGCTACTGACCCCTTGTCACATCAGCCAGGCCTAAAAGCAGCTGAGGGCTACAGTGGGACCACACAGACCGCAACTCATACAACACCGAGCTCATTTGGCCCCCTTCCATAGTTTTTTGTCATCCTGGTGTCATTCTATGTTTCCTAGTTGTGTTAGGCCTAAGAACATCAGCAACAATGAAAACAGTCTACCAAAGTCTGTTCCAACAATTAAAACACCCTCAAAGTAACTCAGGTTCCAGCTCTGTTATCTCCAAGGCTAAGCAATCCAGCCAAGTCCAACATTTGGGGAATTCCAGCATGGGTTTCCTTAAGGCAAAGCCACTCGGTTCAAAAGAGGTGTCAGTTGTGATAACAGGACTCAAATAAGTAAGTTGTGCAATCCCTGCTGTTTTCTGTTCCTGGTCCTGCTGAAAGCTACAACTCTGCAGAGGTGTCCTGAGACACCCAGGAATCTGAGGAGCCTGGACTAACCTTGGGTCAGCCTGTCCTCAACCTGCACCGTTCTGGGTGTCAACCCCACAGGATCTGGGAAAGCCTCCTCTGATAGTTAATCAAGTGTGACGTGAGCCAGCCACAGCTTTCCTGTCACTTGGGCTGAATCCACAATGCCATGACAGGCGTGTTCTGGGAGGTGGGAAGCAAGAGGACAGAGCCACATCGCATCTCCCTCTCCCAGTCAGTCATGAGGAAGCTAAATTCTGCCTGTGTTCAGGAGTTTCAGTGTCTCACCAGAACCCTGGCCAAGGCCAGGATGCCCCTGCCCACGCTGTGGTACCTGAGGGGATGACAAAGGTGTAGCCCTGCTTGAGCTCGATGCGCTGGCACTCTGACACTCTGTCCCCAAGAAAAATGTCTCCCTGCTTCCCTGAGAGAAGCCAGTTTTCATAGAGCTCCAGGTTCTGGGGTGTAGGAGGGATCAGCCAGAAGATCTGCAAATAAAGACAACACACATATATAAGTCCTCATATAATGAACAGTTACTGACTATCCCCTGCTTCTTCCAAACATCTGAATCTCTTCCTCTCCCCTCTCTCAGAGAAGTTACCAGTAAAATGTCCTCAACAGATGCCCCTCTAAAGAGGTCAAGTAGCTGAGCAAGGTCTTTCCCAACCTGACACACTGAGTGCCACAGGTAGCTTGAGCTTGGGATGCTTTTTAAGTATTTACATCAGAGTCAAGAGATGTAGAGCCCAGGAAAGACACCAGAGTGCTAAAGACAAGGAGATATTTACCTGAGTATTTCTGCCATGTTAGAGCTACAACTGAACTAAAGATCGGCACCTGTCTGCCTCCACATAACACAAGTTTAGGGTGGAAAGACCTCAGTTTGCTGTCTGGGACCTGCATCCTCAAGGATTAACAGGAGAACAGACTAACATCCACTGTCCTAAAGCACCTGTAGTTGTTCCAACAAGGACTGTCCTACCTTTCCCCCTCGGTGGATGTGGTACCACACAGAAGTGCCACCAAAGTCCACATGGAAATCCGTGTAGCAGCCCTTGACACTCATCAGACAGTACCTGGTGGAAAAGAAGGTGATGGTAAGTTGAAAATGAGTGGTTATCCATGTTTTGGAGCAGATATAACACATCCAAAGGCAATGGGCCCCCTAAACCCAGGCCAATGGCTCAGAGCAGTGCCAGAAGCCACGTGATTCCCCTCCTTCCACACAGCCAGTGGGGCTTAAGTAACTGACTGCAGTGTCCTTACAAGTGTCACCTGCAAAATAAACAGGGAGACTGTGTCTCCTGCTTCCCCCTGGTACAAACTGCTGTTCCCTTGGACTGTTCTCTTGCAAGGGACGCTTTGCTGGCTGCCACAGCTCAGGAAGTCACTTACTTCTGCACCTTGGGATACTGCATCTCCAGAATAGCATTTGTAGACTCTGTCTGACTCTCCTTCAGGTGTCTGGGCCACATATTATCAACCCAGTCAATCAAATCCACCTATGGCAGAAAGGTGGGAGATGTGAGAAGAGAGAAAAGGGGCAGAGCAAACCGTTTTGCTAACCCCAGGTGGCAACCCCCTTTTTGTTCCCTTCCCAGAGCCAGCAACCTTCCCAGTGCCACTGGGGCAATCCCACACATAAAGAACTTAGGATCAGATGTTCTGATGCCAGCACCAGGCATACATAAAAAACATGCAGGGCAGCATCTCCTAGGGTGGGATTCAACTCCCTGAGCTTCAGGAGAGCCAGAGATGTCCAGGCTCCCTCTGCAGTTTACAGGGAGAAGTGAATGGTCCCACACAGCTGCCCCTTCCCTTCCACCATCTGCAGAGGGAGTTCAGGTTGTCCATTCCATCCATCCCACCTACCACTCTTCAGTAAGAGCAACTTGTTTTCCCACCACCAAACAACTTCCTGCCCCTCTTTCAGCACACCTCCAATCCTGGCATCCTCTGCCCTCAGAGACTTCAGCACTTGGCACCAGAAACCCTCCCTTCCATGCTGTACAACCCTCTGGAGCTCCAGTTCCGCGTCTCCAATTGCTGACAGCTAAGGAACAGGTCATCATCTCTCTGCAGAGTGACATGCCAGGGACTCGGCCATGGTCACCATAGCCTGACTGGGAGATCAGCTTCCAGAGCACACACACTGATATCCCTGTTGAGCCCATGCAAGTTACGAGCAGCCCCTCTCCTCCCACATTCCAGTGCCAAGAGGACCAGAGAAAGGAGATCCCTGCGTAAGGAAGAGCCATGCTCACCGTGGCAGGTCTCTGCACCAGGTTCTCCAGTTTGGTGTGGCTGAACTCCAGGCTGATGACGTTGTAAAGCTTCTCCCTCTCCTCCTCCGGCGTTTCGTAGTATCGTGCCCACTGTGCCATGGACATCTCGATGTCCCGCTGCGTGTTCACATCCATGACATCCACCATCCGTCGGCTCCCTGCCACAACACACACACGTCACTGCAACCGGCCCTGTGCACAATGCACCACCCAGAAGACTCCAGGAGATGAGATCCTCAGAGAAGGCACCCACACAAGTGTGATGTCTTGGCCTCTCCCAGAACTTCCACACCCACATCAAACAGAAGCTGCTTCAGGTCAAATTAGACCCAAGAAGGTGATCCCCTGGGTGAGGACAGCTCAGGTTCAACCAGTTGCACTCTGGGGAGCCACCAGACCTCAGCTTAAACCCAAAGTGTCTCCCCATTCCTCCCTACCTGCAGGAGGTGACACTTACCGACACACAGCCGCACATCGTTCACGCTGAAGTCCGGATCTGGCATCCTGCAGGACAAACACCTTGCTCAGAAACCATCATGTGCTTCTGGTGCAGACCCTCCCCACCTGTAACCCAGGTATTGCACCCTGAAGGTGCTGCTTTGGGGTGTGTGCAGACCATGGCATTAGATCTGTAGGGGCGCAAGTCTGGGGTGAAACAGCGGGACAAACTTCTGGCTCAGGAAGCAGATTTGGGAATAGGATGTACCATCTCCAGAGCACAAGTTGTTGTACAGTGACTTCTGGCAAAGGAGCTCAACAATCCCAGCCCTCGTTTCAGAGGCTGCTCATGTGAGTTATCCCAATCCAAAGGCATAGCCAGACCAGTACATGCAGTATATTCCACTGACACAGCAGAACCACTCCAACTGTTTGTACTGGCACACTTCTCTGTACAAACACTGCTGTCACAGGCAGAACAGCCTGGCAGCCATTCGAGCAGCTCTTGACCCAGAGAAATACCCAAAAGCTCAGGAGAAATCCAGTTTCAGCCACACTCTAATCCTCAGTATCAAATCTCTGCCCTCCCAAGTCACCGAGCAGTTAAAACTGAGCCTGGCACGACTTCCTACCTAATTCACCCCAGTACAGAACATCCTGCACTGGATGAGATGTCACCCACCCATTCACAGCCAGCTGGGGGGGTTCAGAGCAGTGCTGCTGACACTGGCTCAGAGAGTTTGTGAGGGGTCATTTATTCCTCTAATCATTGTATTAATCAACTCCCAAAAAACACTGACCCAGCTTTACACTCAGAGCTGTAAATCTCAATGAATGTACTGCAGCAAGGGAGACACAGAGCAGTTTAGAAGTTGGATAAAGCAGGCTGGAATTCTGGAAAATGCCAGAAATACTACAAATTGTTTGACTCTCTGGCAATAGATGCCTATGTTACTAGGAAAGAAACCCAGCCAGACGTTGCATCAGAGCAGCAGTGGGACTTTCCAGACATTTGGTGGAATTCTGATCACCTACAGCCAATTCAGTACTCTCATTTTCAGTCCAAACAGACTAATAAGAACGGGATAACCAAGGTGGAAGATATTTCTCCCTGCTCACTGCGCATATAGGACAGTGTGGACAGGACACAGTCATACCAGCTTGGCAGAGCCAGGATCAGATCCCACACAATGTGGGGAGATGAAGGAATTGGGCCAGAGTCACCCACCACTCTCTGTCCCCAACACTTACTTTATCCCCAGGCCGTCCGAGCTCCTGAAGATGAGAGGGTCCCTCAGGCCACCCCGCTGGATGTACTCAACTGTGAAGTCTGGTGCAGGGAGACAAGAAGAGGGAAGGTTTAGGGGAGGCTCCTTCAGAGGATACACTGAGGTTAAAGGATCTCTGGAGATCTCTAGATCTGCTCACAGCAAACTGACTTCTGACTTGGATCAGGCTGTTCAGGGCAGTTGAGACTTGAGAACCTCCTCCTATCCCTGTGGTCAGCAAAAAAAAACCTTGTTCCTCACTTTTTTACACTCCTTTGGAGATCCTGGAACTCCTTTGCAGCAGTTCTGGGAGCAACATGGTGTGTGCTGCTGACAAGCCTCAGATAGGCCCCCCAGGGAAGTGGGAGTTTGCTCCAACAGGGAAAACAGCTCAGATTTTGGTCCTCTGTTTCCTAGAAAGCTCACAGCCAAGCAAGAGATGCCTTGAAGAAGTGCTCCTCCCTCCAGGCAATCCTCCCAAGGTTGTGTGATGAAAAGCCATCCCACTGGGCCGTGTGCATGGTGAAAGGAAGGGGAGAGATCCCACATAGCCCTTGAATTAAACATCTCGTAGACATGTGGCTGCAATTACAGGTGCTGACCCAGGAGAACTCTCCCATTCCTGGCTTCCACGTGTCCCAGCCAACCTGCAATGCTGCAGACCAGCTACCCGCTCTCCGGATGGAGCAGCTGCCATGCCATTTCCCTACACACATTCCCTGGCACCAGCCCTGCTTACTGATTAGCAGCCCCAAGACAAACCTTTGCCTTCCATGAAGACCACGAAGGTGGAGTTAAACTTGTTGGTGGACAGCTTTTCCTCGAGGTCAAATGTCCTCTTCCCTTCAATTTCATCGTCGGAGATTCCATCGTCCTCGTAACGCCGCCTCATCGTGCCACGCTGAGGGGAGAACACACCTCAGGGAGTGAGGGAAGAGTTACAGACCAGGAGGAACAACCAGAGCCTCATCCCAATCCAGCACAGCTCAGCCAGGGGCCCTGGGGGAGCCTGGACCCAAAACACACCACTGAAACATCAGATACGCTCTTCCTGCATCCACATTTGTGCAAGTTGGGCTGTATGGAAGAGAGAGGATCACTCCTGATGAATTCTAACACAGAAATACAGGAGGAGGAGAGAGAGTTCAGCATAACTGAGGCAAAGAAAAAAAGAATCAGTTCCCCATTTTTACAGGTGCATCAGTATTTTGCTGCACTAGAGGTAAAGACACTTTGTGAATTTAAAAGTTTGCCCGAACACCAAGTGGTAAAGGAAGGGTTTATACTGGAGACAAAATTCTCAAGTTTTCATGTTTGGCCAGGCCTGTACACAAAAGGTGATTTATTCCCTTGTTTGTGTGGGGAGGAGTAGCAGAGGGGAAGGAACCCTTTTCTTACAGGGTCTCCTAAGTCCATCTGTGTGGGGATTCCTGACAGACATCCTCTTCTGGCATTGCTGGATCTGGAAAAAATTACTGTCCCCAGCTGTTGGCCACCTGGCTGGGGAGCAGCCAAGCTCTGGCAGAGCCCTGCGTGGGAATGCTCCCCAAATCCCCCCCAGATAAAAGGCAACCTGCTCTGAATTAGCCAAGCTAATTTAATTCCCCCAATTAGGGATGCTCCATATCAAGCGTGCACACCAACTGTTGGGCCAGCAGACAGCCAGGATGGGACAGGGGGTGACACAGCTGCTGTCACATCTGTGGCAGTGTCACAGCCTCAGCAACACCACTGGAACCAGCCATGGACCATGAAAGAGAAAGGACTCCCTCATACACATGCACTGCCTTAAAGAAATTCTTAAAATTAATTAGTTTAACCAGTGCAGGAGGATGTAGGGACATTAATAAAAGGGCTTTCCACCAACCCCCTGTAACATTTAATTTTAACTGACAATTTTAAGCAGGCTGACGGGTCCACAAGGAGTTCCCCAGCCATCAAGGCAGAGCCATTTATCTGTTGTTAACACCTCATTGACTGCGCCCAGCTTTTCAACCCCCTTCCCAAAAACCTGAACGACAGGGGCACAAACAGCTTACAACTTCTCCTGAATGGGGCACTTCAGAAAGATCCTGAAACAAGGGTCTGTCCCTCTCAGAGCTTGAATGGCTCTGAGGACTGAACAATCAGGAAAATCGATGTGTGTTTGCTGTCCTTTGTCTTAAGCCCTCCACTAAAGATGGAGAAAATGGGAATGCTTTCTTTCCCCGTTTTTAATAATACAGAGATAAAACTCTCTTTAATTACAGGTTTTTAGAAAGACAGAAAAAAGCATTTAAAAAAACAAACCCCAACAAATGGAGGTGGCATCAGCATAATTGACCTATTCCTGGGGAACATTCGGAATTTCACACTGGGCTGTGCACACAAAAAACTGGAATTCCCAAATGCCCACTCTGCTTCTAAACTGAGACTGCCTCTTCAAAGCATATGTATCAGAGCATGAAGCTAGAGATGTAGAAGTTTTATGGTTGTGTTGTATCAAAGGATGAGTCCACCTTACAAAGCACTTTTCCTTAGAAATCACAGAATCCGTTAACCCTGCGTGGTGCTCAGCTTTAAAATGAGGGCACAGAGCAGATGTAAATCCCCTTCCAGCAGGACTAGTTTTTCCCTTTTCCCAATTCCAGGCAAGCTTAGGACTACAGGTCCCAGCAGGCTGCTCTCTGTCACTAACTAGAGGATGTGCATAATGAAGCAGAGGATTCTGGGCTCTGTAGTCCATGGTCTCACCTGCTTTGGGATCAGGTGGGTGGTGGCTCACTGCAGGACCAGGCTGCCCCTTTACCCCAGACACTCATTTTCAGGGGAAAAGCAGCTCTTTTGCCTTCACTGGGTACAAAACCTCACGAGTGGGGGAAAAGGTTTGGCACAGAATTCTGGCAAGAAGAGGCTATATCCAAATCAGTCCCTTAATAACTTATATTTGGCTCCCAGGCTGGAAATCTGGATGGTATTTCAGGGCTCCTAGTTAAGTGTAGCTTAACTAGGAGCAAGGTTACATTGGGCTAAAACTCAGGTAAGTCCCATTTGAGCACAAGTCTCAGGAAACCTGGGCTGGAACACAGCTCCAGGCACAGACACGATGACCAGCCATTGTCTGTCCTTCTGGAAGTGGCACCGAGCCAGCACAGGCTCTGGATTGTGTAGAGCAGCTAATTCAACAGCAATGTGACCATGTGGCAGGGCCTGATCCCAATCCCACTGGTGTCATAGGCGGATGCTGGAGATGCCACGAAAAGCAGCTCCTGCTCCCTTCCCATCTACCCACTCCAGCTTTAGTGCCCAGTCACTCCAGTTTGGCATCTGGACCATGAGATCACTTTGTCTTGGCTAATCCTGAGCACAAACTTTGAGGACAGATCCCACTCCCACCTTCTGTGAACGTGCAGTAAATGACCTGGTCCCTCACTAACAAAGCTGGAGGCTTTATGACCAAACAAATATGATGTGTCTCAGAGGAGGCCACGCCACCAGACCAGCTTGCTGTGGACTCACATTACATGAAACTACACTTCAGCTGGATCCACCCATGGATCTGCACTGTGGGATCCAGGAACCAGACTCTTTTCCCAGACCTCTTTCACAGCACAGCCTCCAAGACAAACAGGTTGGAACCTTCAACCCAAACCACTATGATAAGGCAACCACACCAAAAGTGCACACACCAGAAAACAGGCAGGAACACCTTAAACTCAAACTCCTTTGCAATGGGCAAACAGGGATGCAAAACACAGAAGGAAGGGGATTGTCTCCTCCAGCCCAGCAAATTCCAAAGTCTATTGCTCTTGTCATCAGCAAACCATCAGCCACAAAACTCCCTCAGCTCTGCCTGTTCCTGTGGGCAGGGAAGAGTTTGGCCTCCTAATTGGCACAGCATGTAGGAGAGCAGGATCCCAGCCGTGGCTGAGGACCCAAAAGCACAATACAAACAGCTCCCATCCCATCCTACCCGGCCGGGGCCACAGCGCTTTCATGTCATTGTTGTCTTGGAAGGGTGGGGACAAACAATATTTCAGGGCCTGCAGAGCGGGCAGGAGGAAGGAAAGGCTTCTGTGCTTCCAAGAGTGCATTTTGGGAGAGACAGCATCTGCAGTTTTCCCCTCCTGGAGTCTGCAGCTCCCTCACAGCACAGTTACACAAACCATGGTCCCCCAGCTCCCCAAACTGGGTCTCTGTACGAGGACAGATGTGGTCAGTGGATGCTCCAAGACCCCCTTTCTGCCCTGATCTGTTTTGATCCTCCCCTGACACGTAGGGAATTGCTGCCTGGTTAAATAACTGGTACAGGTGACACCTGCAAAGGGCAAGAGACACTCAAAACCACAGCAGGCTAATGCCAACCTCACCTTCCCCCTGCACACACGCAGTTGTGCAAATCCTTCTGGCAGCACTGAGTTTGACAACTTCCTGGGAAGAGCCAGCTACCTTTGTCTCACAGCCTGTGCCAGGGATGGGGCTTGGCTGAGTACCCCTTCCCAGAAGATTCCTACAGCCCTCCTAACTCTTCTTCCTGCTCCTTGGAGCAAGCCCATCCAGGCAGGTCTCACCAGAGAACACAAGCAACTCCCAGCCCTGGGCTCTCAGACTAAGACCACTTCTTCCTGGGGGTGGCTCTGCTACTGGGAGCTCTTCCAGTGTCAACCAGTTCAGCCAGGGATGCACAACTTCCAAAAAGAAGATCAGTAGACACCCCCAAAACCGCCATCTGTAAAAGTGTCCCAGGTGAAGTTCAGCTCCAGCGAAGCAAGAGATCGAGTCAAGCCCATAACATACATGAGTGTTCAGCAGCAATATTAAAATATCCCTTTTTTTCCAGCTTTCTGTTAGGATTCAGGCATTTTTCACCCTGCTGAGAGTTTTTAACCCTTCCTTTTACTAAGGAAGAACTGACAAGTGGTCCAAACCCTTTCTCTCTGTGTCAGGCAGGGTCAAGAAAAGGCAGTTTATTCATCCTCCAAGACCAGCCAGCCAGCAATTCCCATCTAAAACAGCTGTCCTTCACCACTCCTTTCTGGCTCTCTTGGGTGCCACTCAATTAATGTAGGAAAAAGGAAGCATGAATATTAATCCTGCAGACAGCTATCCCTTCTATTCTGATCTTTTCACCTGCAGTCTCCTTCTCCCAAGGAAAGTGCCTCATGTAGCTCCACAGTGGTACTCTTCAAAACTCTTCCTCGGAAACCTCTTTCCATGGAGCACAGCTCTCTCTAACAGCAAAGGAACTGACATCAGCTGAAGAAAGCCAGAAAACCTCTCTCCTGTGGATTTTTTTTGAGAGAAGAACGAGTACAAGGTCACATTTGAAAAAAAGAACAAGCCGTCCTTTCGCTGACAGAGCCTCCTGTATTTACAGACTGAAACTAACGCACACCACAGTATTTTAGTCACTTCCTGTCCTGTCTGCTGCCATCCCCTCCCTCATCTCCCAACAACTCCAGGAACCTCCTCCTGCTGGGTCACAGCTCCTTCCCCCTCTTCAGGAGACCATAGCACCCTCACTTTTCCTCTCCCTATGCTGCTTGTCTTTCCAGAGCAGCTTCCCTGGTGTGAGGCCTCCCACAACTCTCCCTTATTCCTTTAGAGAAAAGATGTTGACATGAAGAATGCAGTCAAGTTTCATCCCCATTTCCAAAATCCCTCCTTCCAGATATTAACTTCCACTTGGCTCCCAGTATATGTATAGAACAGTGTGATTTACCAGTGCATCTCTTTTCCTCGCCCCATCCCTTTGTAGGTTTACTTTGCCCAAAATGCACCTAAATTGATAACAACAAGCACCAAACTGGTAACAAACCAACAAGCTCAACTCTCCTCAGTTTAGGAATTCAACTTCTCCCATATTTTTACAGCAAACAACTGTGGCTCTTGCCCAGATAAATCCAGGCCATCAACATCCAA